ATCTTTCCTGTTCTTCGCAAGCAACTCCCTCCTTCACCCAATGGTGGATTCTTGGTTTCAGAAGGCAGCGACAGCTTCCTAGAGCTCGAGTGCCATTTGCAATCCTCTGGACAGGTAGTCGCCAACCAACAGTTGGAGATAGCAGACTTGCAGTCCCTGTGCCGTATGCTGAGCAGGGTAAGCTACCTTATTCACTTTATAACCTTTGCGCGGATTCCTGCATTTGTATATCTGTAATTTCCGTTTGCCAAGGATTTGGAGAAAAGCTTGGCTGCCCAGAAGGCGTTGTTGCAACAGCAACAGGAGCTGGAGGCCGAGTCGGCGGAGATGCAAGACTTCCTTCAGGAAGAGAAAGCCACATTGGCGGACGCTTTGAAAGAGGCCGAAACAGAGGTATCTTTCACAGGAGCAATTAGAAAAATTACCAACAATAGGATGTGATCGACGAGTGTTACTAAAATTCTTCCTTCTAACCTTCTAGCTAGCGAAGAAGGAGGAATTATTAACGAAACGCGAGCTGGAATTGGAGAGGCAGACCGAGGAGTGCAAACATTTGGTGCGCATCAGCGAGCAACGAAGGTGAATGTTGTGTCTTTAAAAGTTTCGACGAAGCTATTCCTACCAAAGAAGTATATATAATAATGAGCTATAAATTCTAGAAACTTGTAAGAAGTTATACAAAACTGAATTGATTCAGGCGACAGATTGTAGGACCATTTTATACTTCTTTTTAGTTACACAAGTACTAAAGTCATTTTGACTGGCATTGGTACAAGTAGCAACGATACAAAATTATGTTGGCTTCTAATAAATAGAAATAAAATGAAACTCGTTATATCATTTCTTTAGTTGTCGCTGCAAAAAGTCATTACATCATTGCAAGGAGAAAAAAATGCACCTGATTGAAATAGAAATTTTAAAACAAAATTGTAAAACCAGTCATTTTGATTGGTGTGGTAGTTCTCTAGTGTTGAACGCGAATCTCGTTACAGACGCACATTTCTTCTGCCTCCAGGCAAGAAAATTTATCCATGAGCATGAAATTAAATGCGGTCGAACGACGAAGCAGGGAGCTGTTGCTTACACAGGGAGCCGCCGTTTCCGGAGCTGCGGTTGCGCTTTCCGGCCTTGGCACGAGGCTAGAGGGATTGGTAGATCAGCTGATAACGTCTTATAGTATCTCAGTGAAAGACCTCGAAGTAACATCCCATGATCTTTCTTTCTCTTATTATTTTTCTCTCTCTCTCTCTCTTTCTCTTTTTTCCCTACATTTTTACCATCTAATGATACTCGGTCGTTTTACTCGTAGGAAGTGATATATCACAACGAAGCGTACAGCCGAAGCAACAGCAGCATCGAATCGAGCCCGGTCAGTTCGAAGCACAGCCTGAAAGAGTGCACACCTAGTCCAAAGAGCGGTTCCTTCGTATCCGCGGTGATCGGTGCAATCCGGAACGCGGCGACGCACCCTTTCGCAACGAAAAACACTACAGATAAAAAATCTACCTTAGAATCGGCCAAACAGATGTACAAAGGTGTGTACAATTTACTATTAAATCCACTTTTTTTAAATTAATTATTAAAATTAATTATCCAGAAATATAATAATATAATTATAATTCATTCGTTCTTAAATATACTGCATTTTGATTTACAATATATTATCTTATTAGATATTTCTTTTTATAAATCTAAATAACAATGCATGAATAAAATTTAAGTATATCTTATCGTGGATTATCAAATTAAACAACAAATTTCTCTAAAAAAATTAAAAGGCCGCCATATTATTTTGTCTTAATGACTTCACATTTAATTTAAGAAATTTATTATTCTTTATCTAAAAATAACAATAATTTGGTATCTAATCCTAGTCTATAATTCAATTCTAATATATCTTTATATTTAAAATTACATTATATTTATTAATTTAAATTTCACCTGAAATTAATAAACTTTCAATGAAACTTTTTAATTATTAACTTATAATTCAAGTATAACCGCTATTGCTGGCATTATTAATTTTAACTTTCATTAATTAATTTCGACTTTTCTTATTAAACATATCTAAACTTTTCTATTTCTATTGATAGAAATAGGTTATGTATAAATTATTAATGTAATTAACAATTCAACC